CCCAAACCTGGTCTTACAGTGTTCCACTGAAGAAATTCTATATATATCAATTAAGATAGTGGTTACATAGGGTAGATTTGTCAAACTGGTCAAACTTACAACTTCAAAACTATGTTTTTTTTATTAAAGGTAAATCATAATTTTTCAAAAGAGAGAAATGGAAAAAAATAAATGTTAAAAACACACAGATATATTAGAAATTAAGGATTGGGTAAACAAAGTAGTTGAAAGTTAGAATTAGACACAAGATATCATCAGAAAATTTTAAAAAACCAAAATGAGTCTTAAATATTTAGCAGGTTTGAATGAATTTTTTTACATCAGAAACAATGGGCCCCTTGGGTTGGCAGACAGGCAAAATGTTATAGCAAAAACAGCGTAGGTTTAAAGTAATACTGACCCAGGATTAAATCGAATGATTCTTAGAAGCTGTGTGACCCTATAAAAGTTACTTAACCTTTTGAGATTCCATATCATCATCTGTAAAACAAGGACAATATTCCCTACATTGGTCTGTGGTTTTGAACAGCTAATTCATGTAAGTGTTTAATAAATAACTGCTATCATCATTATTACCTATCATATTGATGACATATTGATTTCTATACATATTACATAGTTATAACAATATTCAAAAGACATTTTCTAATTTGTGCTTCCATGTGTGACATCTTCAAGATTTAGTACAAATCTCCTCCCTAACGTGGGTTTCTCTGTTAAAAATAGGTGTCAAATAAAGGAAAACCTTTAAAAAGAGAGCCCATGGTTCACTGATGGAAACAGAAAGAGAAAAAAATAAAGAGATGAATCTTAATCCCTTGATATCACAAAGCTCAGAGACTAGCTAAAAAGAGAACAATTTCCAGTGAGGATATTATGGTAGAGACAGGGATGGATTGATTTGCTGAATATTGAAGAGATTTCATTGACTGATTAGGTAATGGTAGGTAGCACAGGGGTTTGATGAAGGAGTGAATATGATTAAGAACTACTGAGGGCCCTCACCAGTTTGGCTCAGTGGATAGAGTGTTGGCCTGTGGACTGAAAGGTCTCAGGTTTGATTCCAGTCAAGGGCATGTACCTTTGTTGCAGGCACATCCCCAGGAGGCAGCTGATCTATGCCTGTCTCTCACCGATGTTTCTAACTTTCTATCCCTCTCATATTCCTCTCTGTTAAAAAATCGATAAAATTTTTTTTAAGAGTCATCGAGGGTTTTGATTTTTCCAGTTCAGTGCCTGTTGTTGAAAATGGGAATTTGGGGGACATAAAAAATGCCGTGGTGTGTGTGTGTGTCCGAGAAGTTAGATTTGGATAAGAATGTTGTAGCACCTTGGAAACAAGGAAATGGAGAGGATAGAGGCAGTGGAACAAAGGGTCTGAAACTGAGAAGGCAGATCCAGGCCAGTGGTATGCTGATGTTGGTAAGTGCTTGACAACTGGTTCTCCAGGGAAACAAAGCATTGGTTTGTAGTGCCAGCCAATTTCCATGGTTTAAATACTCCCACCAAGATACCAATTTCATGTTATAAATGCAACCAGCATAGCTTTGGAAGAGATGTGCACAAATGATTCTTGCAAAAGGGGTGCAACCCAACTCCATCACATAAGGGGTCATTTATGAAGTAGGATATAGTCAAACATATAAAATATTCATGGAAAACTGAATAAATTCCTCTGGATAATGATTGCCTTTTGCATATCTTTTGCTTTTGTTTTATATATGTTTCCTTTTTTATTAACTCCTTCATATAGGGTTACATAGTATTAGCAGAAGAATTGGCACCTGCTCCTTAAATCAGCTTAGAGCTTTTATTGTCCACAGCTATAATACTTGCTCCTTCCCAAGGTCATCTGAAGGTTAGGGTAAATAAAGAATAGCTTCTCCTTACTAAAAAATATAAGGGTCAGGGGGAAGCAGGATAAAGGGCAATGAAAACTGCTTTTATGGCTCTATTATCCAACCTTTAATGAATCTAATTGTATCTACCTGAAGTTAAACTCTATTTCCTTCAGCATATGGAACCCTCTATAATAATTTCCAAATTTAAATGTCCTATAATTTTCATGAATGTTTGGGTTATTTGTTTATCATTTCATGTTTGCTGTTTTGTATCTTCAGAAATTAAATTTTTATATTATAGTTTTCAATAACAGGAAAATAATTCTTTTCTTAACAATAGAAGGATATGATTCTAGTGTACATTTTAAATCATCTAAGCCAAAAATAGAGCTCCTTTTTAAATATAAAGCTTTTCACTAAATATAACATTTTGAAGCATTCCTATTAAAGGACTGGGAAAATTCAGAATAAATATAAGGAAGGAAAAATAAGAACACATAACCCCAAACAAAAATATTTTAATATCTTTCCTTTCAGACAGTAAACTATATATTCACGATGACATACTGCTTACATATTAAATATTTCACAATAATTCTTTGTGTTCTAAAATTTTAATATTTTACTATTATCTGACAATTAAACTCCCCTGTCATTTGAGGGAGAAAAGTTCCTGGGTGCCTCTGAATTAAGAATTATCAGAATGGATGAGATATGGAAAAAGGCCTTATTTGTGTGAAGTTACATTTCTGAGCTTCCAAAACCCTTGCCCCTTAAGCCAGCCCTGGAAAGGGTGCAGCTGAGGTTCCAGCAGAGTCAGAAACAGGGCCCGTGTCAGAGCTCCCATGCCCTGGTTCAGCATTCAGGTCAGATTCAAGTCCATTGGTCTATTGAGTGGAGTCCAACATGGCAATGCACGCTATGGGCTAACGTAGCCCATCCCCCTGTCAAAGGAGAGTCTGGGGATCCGGTGCATGAGAGAGAGAAGAGAAGAGAGCTCACTTCTTTCTTTAAAAATTTAAATATTCAGGTTTCTTGCACTTGCAGTGGCCACATCCATCCTAGCACCTAATTTGTTCCCAGGTACAACTGGCAGACAGGTAAGCACCTTTTCACATCATTAGACTTACTGAGCATGTGCTTAAACTGTCTTTGTCTAGTCCCTTCCCCCACTCATCAGTGGGGAACAGGCTTGGAAAGTGTTAAGTGCAGATTTTGACAAAGCTGTATTATTGGCATGCCTACATCTAGTTTTCCCTTTCTTCCTTTGCTGTTAAATAATAACCAGGCTATTACAATGGCATCAATACTATCATCTTCCCCATGTCACTAAAATTCTGTCAAATATAACCTTAAGTGTTAATCAGTATCCTCTGAGTATACCAGAAGCAGTAAAACACTGTTCTATTTTTGGACACTTAGATGGTTTCCAAGTTTTCATTGTTATAAATGGAATGGCAATGGACATTCTCTTCCATTAGTTTTTGTGCTTGTTACCCACTACTTCCTTGGATGAAGTCCTAAAAATGTAATTACTGGGTTTAAGGACAAAATTGCTGCAAAGAACCTTGGTACAGTGTTCACAAGTGCTCTCAAACCAATTGTACCAATTTACAATCACATCAGCACTGTGTGTGAGTATCTGCTTTCACTCCATCACCAGCAATGAATATTATTTTTAAGAAAATGAATATGTGTTCTCTGTGTGTGTGTGTGTGTGTGTGTGTGTGTGTGTGTGTGTGTGTGTGTTATCCCATTTGATAACCAATGACTGGCATTTCATTGTTATTTGCATTTATGTTTCTTTTACTGATAGGTTAATGTTGCTTTTTAAGTATTTTTATTGATTTCAGAGAGGAAGGGAAAGAGAGAGAGAGAAAAAAAATCAATGATGAGAGAATAATTGATTGGCTGCTTCCTGCACACTCCCTACTGAGGATAGAATCCACAACCCAGGCATGTGCTCTGACCAGGAATCAAACCATGACCTCCTGGTTCATAGGTCGACACTCAACCAATGAGCCATGCTGAGGAGGAAATAGGTTAATATTTTTTTATAAAAGAAACATTTTTGTGTATCTGTGAATTCCTCTTCATCTCCCTTGTTCATTTTTTTTTATTGATGTTTAACTTTAACCAAAGAATTTGATGTAATTTATAAGTAAAATAACAAACTTTATTTGAGCTTCTGGAAATATAATTTCTAAATGGAGCATCAGCAATTAGCATAACAGAGAAAATAAAGCTACTCTATGCAAGTGATGTTCACAAATCATAAAGGAAATGGAACATTTTCTTTTTACAGCTTTTAGGACCCCAGGAGAAAGGCACAGTTGCTACCCCTTTGGGCAGAGACTGATAGTGCTCTCTTCTGTCCATGGATGCAGCTGGATTTCAGAGTGAAGATTAGATGCAGAAGGGCTCCCAGTCTCCTTCCCATCACCGCTGACCTGCGCTGCACCGGAATCCTCGCAAACATGTGCTGTGAGCTTTAGATATGATTTTCTAATCTCCCTTGGCCCCCGAACATGCTGCTTTCTCAGCCTTCTCACCACATGGGATCATGTTGCCAATAGTGTCTTTGGGATAAATTTGAATTCATCAGGCTGGAATTTAATTACATTACGCAAACTAGAAAATGTCCCCAGCAGGCTTCGAGGGAATAGCTTCTGTATGCAACTGCAATGTCCTATTTTGTTTAAAATATTTGCATTTGGAAAAACCCACACTGACTCCAACCCCCTTTTTGATCTTTGTCAGGAAGTTGTTTTCATCACATTGGCCTGAATTTACTCTCAGTAAAAGGTAAATATTGAAAAAATGTTTGCATAACTTACTTTTCTCTATTCTACATCCTTCCCAAATGCCTGTCTCTTTAACCGGTTGGGGCAGGATGGTAAGAGGAGATGGACAAGCATCACTTTCACAAGGTATTCCAGTGCCATAGACACTGGAAAGCAGTAATCACGTTCTGAATAGAGCATTCTGAGTACAAAGGGAAGAAAGGCTTTCAAAATGCTCAAACTGAAAGCACTAACAGGAATTTACACTTGGGATCATTATGACATTTGTGAAGTGCTCATACTGTAGATTGTACCTCTTGGCCTCCAATTTTCACCCCTCCCCATAACTATGCCCTTTGCCATGTAACTTTCTAGTTCCTCCCTCTAGTGGGCATGTATTTCAACCTCTGCCTTATTTGGGACTTGGTCTTGTGACCACTTTTGACTAACAGAATGAATGCAGCATATATTTAAATATATTTAAATAATTTTCATTTATTTCAGAGAGGGAGAGAGAGATAGAAACATCAATGATGAGAGAGAAATCGATTGGTTGGCTCCTAGTCACCCCACTCTCAGGATGGAGCCCAAAATCAGAGCATGTGCCCTGACCAGGAATCCAACCATGACCTTCTTGTTCATAGGTTCATGCTCAACCCCTGAACCACATTGCCGGCCTGAGCCCAGCTCTCTTATGCCTCCAGTATCACTATGAGAAGAACCTCCCTGGGCAAGCTTGCTGGTCCAAAGAGAATGAGAACAGAGACAACACTGCAGGCTTAAACCCTATGCTTAGAAGCAGAGCTGTCCAGAAATCATAGTCTGAAGCAAACCCATGAAGCTGAGCCCAGTGTGGATCCATTAGACCTCAGGCAATATGCATGATAGGCAGTGAGAGTCCAAGAAGAAAGACCATAGGTGACTGCTGTTTTAAGTCAATGAGTTCTGGGATGGTTTGTTAAATAGAGATACAAAATAATGCAGTATCTTAGAAGTTTTACAACTTTCAACTTACACACTCAATGCAAACATTAAAAAATCTTTAGTGAGCAAGAATGCCAGTTGGTGCCCTTCATGCAGGAATGGGGATGTTCCATTTTCTCAGGTTCTTGTGTGTAGCTCCAGACTTGTGCCTTCCACTGGAAGCATATCTATTCATTGTCTTTTAAAGCAACATCTCACAACAAATACCCTTTTATTCTCCCTCCTCAATGCACCTTGCCATCTCTCTTCACAGATCCTCTCAGCTATTCACCCTTTTCCTACCCACAGAGATGCCAAGAGCCTGGGAGAAATGTGGTGATGGTTGAGTTCAGAAATAAAGCAAGCCTTCCCATTACCTTTTTGTCTTGCAGGGGTAATCTTAACAGTGAAGCTCTCCCTAGTCAACCAGGCAGCACTTGGAAGATACAAAGGAACAATTCTGATTTCAGGGCATGGCTCATGAAAAATAAAATCTACAATCTCAGAAAAACACATATGTACCCCCATCTGAAAGGAAGCAGAGAAATCACCTCCCATAGCTTTATATAATTTCTGACTTCTCATGATAGAAATGAGGAACATGTTAATTGCTTAATGGCATTAAAAGTAAATTGATTTTAAAATGTTTTCATTGATTTTAGAGAGAGAGGAAGAGAGGAGGAAAAAGAGAAAGAGAAATGCTGATGAAAGAGAAAAATATTACACTGATTAAATGCCTACTGCACACCTCCTACTGGGCATTGGACCCACTACCAGTTATTTTGCCCTGACTGGGAATTAAACCAGCTATGTTTTGGTGCAGGGGTCAAAAATCAACCAACTGAACCACACTGGAGAGGGCAAAAATACATTAAAAAAATACAAATTCTCCAGTAGTCATATTGTGACATAGTTTTACCAAAATCATTAAGCCACCTGTGACTAAGTGTTTTATAAACAGTCAGAAAACAGAAGAAAAAATATTGTTATTAAAATACTATTGTATTTTAGCCCAGGACAGTGGGGGTAGCTGGGTGGGTGAAAGAAGGTGGTGTCTGATCAATGTGTTGCTCTCACATGTTTTTCTCTTTCCCGCTCCCTTTCTCTCTCTCTCTCTAAAAAATCAATAGAAATATTTTTAAAAGACTATTTTAATAAAGCAAAATCACTATCTGGCACGTAGCCTGGAACATTACTAAATGTGGACCAGCTCCTATTAATATCCCTGCTGTCCTAAGAACAGCAAACCTCCCCTGGTTCGTTAGACAGAACTAAAACTTCCCACAGAAAACCAGGTTGGACAAGGAACTACACTTTTAGAAACACTCAGGAAATGGTGATCTGCCGGCTGACAGGGACAGAGCATACCGCTTTTAGCCTGGAGCAGAAAAGAAATCAACCCCACTCCTGGCTGAACACAGACAGCTGCCTAGGGATTGACACCTCGCACAGGACTTGGTCAGCATCAGTGAAAAAGCCACAGGCATCAGTGTCCTTAAGCATCATTGGTTGTTTTGGGATATAAACATGATAAATACTCCATGCTCTGCAACACACAAGAGAGCAGATTATTTAAGTCAGATTCATTTCTATCTTCATGATCACGAGCCCCAAATGGTACAAAGGTTTGCATTCAGGAACATGTCTAAATAGCTCACATGATGAAATGTACTTTTTTCTGCTTTTTAAAAAGATGGGGAAAGAAAAATTTTAGAAAGGATTATTGTTTCCCTGCCAGCGTGGCTCAGTGGTTGAGTGTTGACCTATGAACCAGGAAGTCACGGTTCGATTCCAGGAGGCAGCTGATCAATGATTCTCTCTCATCATTTATGTTTCTATCTCTCTCTTCTCCCTTTCTCTTCCTCTCTAGAATCAATAAAATATATTTTAAACAAGAAAGGGTTATTGTTTCATTTCTAGAAATTATATGACCCAAAGCATAGTATTTAGTTTATTACATCATAGATATAATAAAAAGGCAATTGAAAATTGATTGCAATTAGAGAATTTAGCATGTTGAGTTTATATAATAGCAATTTTTGAACATTGGAAACAAATATTATTTTTTCTGATTTAATTTATATCTTGGAGAAAAGGAAAAGGGTTGAGAATTAACACTATCTTCTACATTGTACCTACTTTACATGTGTAAGATTGTTCAATAGGGTAGAGTAAAAAAGATCTATTACAAAAGAGTAAGGAGAGTGTGATGCACATGACTGCTTAGAAATCAAGGTCTCAGCTCCCTAGACATGTTTATATTGGTTTCTGAGCATGGCCTTATTTAGAAAACTCTATAGCCCATTGAAAAGTATAAGGATCTACTAACTCAATTATTCAAAATAATTTTTTACTCAGCATAAAGAACAATGCGCTTATTTACCTCTTGGGCTACATGAAAGTGACTGTGGGGACCTAACTAGTATATCAGTGAATAGTACACATACACCCAGAAGCACACAAGCATCTATGCAGGAAATAAATGCTGCTGGGGAGCCAACAGCAACAATAATAACAACAAACACATAGCACTTACCATGTGTCAGGCACTGCTCTAAATACTACCATTAACTATTTTAATCTTCCTAACAATCCTGAGAGACAAGTTTCACACATTTCACAGGGAAGTAACAGCTTAACAGAGTGCTAACGGCCAAAGTGAATATGAGATGAAAGGCATAAAATCATTGCAACTTCTATCAAGGGAGCCATGTCACAGTTGACTGAGTTTTTCTTTGACATTTCCCTCTCTTCCTCACCTCTTTTTGTTTCTACTGCTCAACCTGTGTATTCTTGTCTTGATATTCTCCATTTATAAATTTTATATTATACTAGAGGCATGGTGCATGAAATTCATGCACTCAGAGGGTGATGGAGGGGGTTTCCTCAGTCCAGCCTGCACCCTCTTGCAGTCCAGGAGTCCTTGGGGGATATCCAACCTAAGCCTTTAGTCAGATATCCTTAGCACTGCCGTGGAGGTGGGAAAGGCTCCTGCCATAGCAGCTGTACTCATCGGACTATGAGCCCAGCTTCTGGCTGAGGGTGCTCCCCCTCTGGAAGCACACTGACCATCAGGGGGCAGCTCCTGCATTGAGATATCTGCCCCTGCTGGTCAGTGTGTGTCATTGGGACCTGTGGTTCTGCCGTTCAGTCAATTTGCATATTAGCCTTTTATTATATAGGATACTAGTAGCCCTGTTCATGAATCCATGCACCAGCTCCTCTCTGCAGGGCCTGGCCGCTCCACACCCAGAGGCTCTCCATGGACCAGAGGCCCATCTGCAGCTGGGCAAGGAACTCTTGCCTCGCAAGGCAAGCTTTCCCCCCACCCCTGGCTGATCTGTGCCAGCTGCCCACTGGCCCTCTGTGGCAGGGGTAGAATGCTTGCCTAGTTGTCGGCAGGCTACTCTGTCCGTTTTCAGTGGCTGCCCCCACTGGGACTGGGGGACTCTCACAGGGCTGAGAAGACTGGGCACAGCCATCTTGTGGCTATGGGTGCTGCCATCTTTGTGATGGAGTGGTGGTTAAGTTGCATATTAGATAGGATTATCATGATTTAGTTACTGAAAAATATGAATATGTTCCTTTTCCTTATATTAAGAATAAATTTATTGAGTACTCATTTTATCTTTCTCTTTAAATACTTAAGGTATGTTAAGGGCCAATAGTAGTACACTCATGAAAGTGCCAGAGAGTACCTTCAGAATGTCCACAGGTGCAAAATTAGCGCTCCTAACTACATCCACATAGAGTAATCCACATGGCCTTCAAGGAGCTACTATATTGTCCTAAAAAGACACCCCTTTTTCTCCAACTTTCACCTTAAAAAACTTTTCCTGTAACCACCTCCATCAGGTGACTAATAACCATATTCATAGATTAACAACAACAAAATCATGGACTTCCTGTGAGGTCCATCATGACTGCTGGCTGTGTTTCCAAAGTTGTCACAGCAATTACTAAGTTGTATGGAGATGCTAGGAGATTATAACAGAGAGAAAACTCAGAAGAGGGAGGTAAGGTCAGCTATATAAATCTTTCAGAATATTAAAGGTACAGATAAATATGAAGTTCAGGAATAGGGTAGCTATCGTTTTCTTTAAAAAATTAAAGAGAGAAGAGGGAAACAAATGGACTTCAGTGAGATTAAAAAAAAAAACTAAAATAACAGCATTTTCAGATAAAGTACTGTCAGAAGGAAAGGGAGATAGAAATCTAATGTTTTCTTGCCTATGTAAAATGGGAAGCCTCTCTAGATCTAAAAATGAGGCATTGCATAAAATATGCCAGAAATTCCTAATTTATTTCATCTCCCTCTAGACCTCATCTGAAAGCCAACTATGTATAACACATATTAAATATATCGAAGGCTCTGCCAAGGAGTGTCAGGTCTTGAGTGTCCATACGATATGCAATATTTTGAGAAAACAAATAATTCTTTAAGAAAATCTTTTTTTTGTGTGAATGTTGGCTCCTTTATAAGTCATGTGGGACAAGTGTTTCATGACTCTCAGCTCTAATAATACCTCATATAAATTCAGGCCAGAGAATGACTAAGGATTCCTTGCTGTGTTAACAAGATGATCCAGACACCTGGAACAAACACTAAAGTCTTGTTACTATTATGATTCCTGAAGTCATAATACCAAAGGTTAAAAATATCTAAGGAGCATGGATTTTAGAGATTCATCCCTCTATCACACTGACTGAGAAAAGTTCTTACAAGTAGACCTCTAGCCCACAGGTCAAGATGAGTCCAATAACTGGCATCCCCAGCAATGTCACATGACCAAGAAAAATGCTTTAGCAATCAAAAGAAAGCTGAAAAAGCTAAATGGGGATGGAACAACCAGCAACTTTCATCACTCCTCAAACTGATGAAAATTGGCTCCCTCAAGAAAATCAGCTCCTCCTTTTTCTGACTTTCTCTCCTCTCCACCAGAGGAAAGACTCAGCCTTGCCATGTACCCTACATTCTCTGCTTCTTCTGAATAATAAAGCAGTCATTTTATGACTTGCATAAAAAACCAAGTCATTGCTCTCTCACCATCAAACGCACCATTAGCATAATTCACTCGGAGAAGATGCTGCCCTGCTTTTCACGGAGGTCAACAGCTCTCCTGTAAGAGCTGTGCATATATGCCTGTCAGGGGTATTCAGTATCTTGGGCAGCAGTCAGTGGTGCCTGCCAGGTGGAGGGCAGAATAGGAGCCCTTGTGTCTTTATGCAACATCAACATAAACTTTCCAAGCTTGGAACTGAGAGACGTGGTCGGAAACCTAGAGGGAATTTAGGGATCAGAGAATTTAGATACATCTTTTTTTTTTTTAAGTGAGTAAACTAAGGCTCCAAGATATTAACAGGTTTGTTCAATGTCATCCATTGACTCAAGACAAATAAGCTTCTCATTCAGGGTCTTTTCATCTAGACTCTGATCATTTTAATTTTTCATGTTATGGGTAGATCATCAATTGATGTATCCTTTTCCAATTTGTCTTTGCCTTTAAGCCTCTCCAGATTTGCTATCTGTGTGACTCTTAGCAGGTTGCTAAACATCTCTGAGGTTATTTTTTATATGTAACAGCATGCATCCTAATATATATGATTAATATAACTACTGTTTTTAGGATTATTTGGAGAATTAAATTAGATAACACATTTAAAAAAACATGGCCTATTACTTATCTTATGTAATAGGTATTTGATAAATATTAGTTCCCTATCATTACTGTTTGGGTGAGGATGATAAAGGCACTAAAATAATGAATATGTGGGTTATGATGTATATGAACAGAGGCTAAGAGGGAAAGTGGAACAGGAACTTAATTGAATCTGGTCATTTCCCATCCTGCATAATTAGGCTTACCTTCTTGAAAATTTGTTATGCAGTTATAATTGCATCCAGACTTGGGAAAGCAGGGTCACTAAAATATTCATGCCTCAACTGCAACTCCTACTCATAGTCCTACTGTTTTGCATGACCTTCATGCGATCAGTAACTGATCACTATTCTTCCTGATCTTCGGATCAATACTTCTAAATAGTCCTTTCATAGATGATAATTAGGAACCTTCATGTATTGTGATATTCTGGTGTTGTAAATAGAGAGATATCCTGTTTTCCCAAAAATAAGACAGTGTCTTATATTAATTTTTGCTCCCAAAGGTGCCCTAGGTCTTATTTTCGGGGGATGTATTATTTTTCCATGAAGAAGAATACCATACACATTTATTGTTAAATGAAAATAAAGGAAATTTATTACCTGTATACAGTATGGTAGTACAGTAATTGTCAACACAAACCAGCCAAACTGTGAATTCTACAGTATCAAGAATTTACTCATTTATTCATTGACAATCATGTCATCATCTTCTGGAACATCATCATAACAATCCAATCCTGAATTTCCTGGTGAATTTCTTGTGACTCCATTTCTTTCAGAATCAGTGAACCAAATCTCTCATGTTTAGCCTAGGGGGGGGGGCTTATTTTCAGGGGATGCCTTATATTTCACTCAGAAGGAAACCTGTAAGTAGGTCTTATTTTTGGGGAAACATGGGGTATCTGAAACAACCTGATATCTGGGTGACATAGATAGGCAATGAACAGCCATTAATTCAGACAGAATTTTATGGGGAAAGGTTTTACTCTGATCAGAGCTTCCATTAAATTCCATTTGAATTTAAATTCTCCCAGACCCTCAAACATTCCATCATACCAGTGGAGAGAGAAGAGCCCTAGAAGACACCATCCCTAAAAATCTTCCAAGGAGAGGGGCAATAGTACCTTCTCTTAGGAAGACAATTAGATATGATTACCCATTACCCTTCAGCAAAAACATTTTCAGAGGGGCCTGATTGTGTGTAGACTGTCCATATACAGCATGAGCCTAAAATGTCACCTGCAAACATCTCAGATGCTCTAACAGCACAGCCCTTGGAGAATCCCTCTCTCTCACTTCATTATGAACTAAAAATTTGTCCATTCATTCCATGTCAGGACCCTTACCCAGCCTTTCTGAATTCAGGAGGAGCAGCAGAGAGATATACAAAAGCACGAGCTAAAAACATGCTCTTCACAAAAATCAATTAAATCAAATAACTAGCCAACTGATCTTTTCCTGCACAAATGTGTGAATATTTATTTGACTGAGGAAACATTCAAAAGCTCACATTACATTTGGGGAAAGTTAAGCTTTTCCTAACATGTATTGATGGATCCACTTCCCATGACAAGAAGAATCCATATATTTAAAAGGAAACTATATTCAGCCATTGGATGGGTGTTTTTAAAAAATGGAAATGTCACTTACTACCCAGATCTAGGTGTGAACCATTTATTTACTCCCCTAAAGATATATCTTTTGGTGTTACTTTCAAGATAGCACCATAATCACATTTTATTGGCACCTGGAGTTACTAAGGCCGATGGAACCTCTGTTCTCCAGGGGTTAAAAGTGGTTATCAAGTAGTTTCACTTTAGCCCAGCCTGTGAGGCTCAAACCAGGAGGTCATGGTTTGATTCCTGATCAGGGAACATGACTGGGTTTGCAGGAGGCAGCAGGTTGATGATTCTTTTTCATCAGTGATGTTTTGATCTATCTCTCCTTCTCTTCGTCTCTCTGAAATCAATAAAAACAACACAAATATATACACAAATATATAGTAGTATACACATATATAGGTATATATATATGTATATACATGTATGTATATATGTAAAAAAGTTTCAATCTACTTTTCAGTACTAAGTAAATGTACACACTCACATAGATATAAAATCAGGGAATGAACTAGAGTGGGGAAGTGAGTACCCATGTTGGGAGCAAAATTTAAGAGGGCACTGAATATTTCAATAATCAATATAAAATTATTTTAATACAGATTTTCTAAAACAGATATAAAATAATGCAAAACAAAAAAAACAAAAACCCCAACATAATGAAGGAAGTTTAAATATCTATAGTAATAAAAGCATAATATGCTAATTAGACCAGACATCCTTCCAGATGAAGCCAAGGCTGTGAGGGAAGCTCAGGTCCTGGGTGCTAGAGGGAAGCTAGTGCCTGTAGTCAGGGGAAGGAAGGCCTACTCTTGCATGAATTTTGTGCATCAGGCCTCTAGTTTTAAATAAAGGCATAATCCGTCTCATTGATTTCTCTTTCTGCTTTAGACTCCAACATGACTCCACATACACAGCACTGTTACTGATTGTGATTTTTATTTAAAACTTTCATATTTTGTCATGGACATTGCTGCATTAAAATATATTGTATTAACATATTATCTTCTTTACTGTGGTTTTGGTGATCCCTTAAATTCCATGGCTGAAGCAAGTGTCTCACTTTTTCACCCTGGTTTGGCCCTGAGAGAGCTGTTCATGCGAGCTCAGCCCTATGACCTTCACTTGGTCCTCCCTACGGAGCTATGAGAGGTGAGTTGTGATAACTGAGTGTCAGAGTGCTTTAATAACTTTCCCTAAATCACCTGCTTAAGAGGGCAGCTGGCATGTGAACCCTGGTCCAGATCACACCTGAGGCCCACTTGTAACCTCTGCTACACTGTCTCTCCCTGTCTGTCCAGGGTTATCATAACACAATAGCACATTCAATTAGACAACTACCTAGTAAGTCCCTACTCGATATTCTATGGCACTTTGCTAGAAATCTGAAGATAAGAACACATTTCATTTAGTGTAGTCATGACCTATGGAAGCACACATTAACCTATTGGACTAACTGTCCTCAATGTGATCATCATAAATCATACTAAATAATACTTCCTTTCCATAGAGGTCATACCCTTGATGTGAGAAAGGGAGGGGAAAATGCAAGAAACACTGAGCATTTTATTTATCCCAAATGCTGATACTTTAGGATTTTGTTCTTTTAATACTCACCAGAGCATGTTTTTAATTGATATTGAGAGAGAGAGAGAGAGAGAGAGAGAGAGAGAGAGAGAGAGAGAGAGAGAAATATAGAGTGATTGCCTCCTGTGCATACCCCAACCAGATATCAAACACATAACTTCATTATGTGCCCTAACCAGGAATCTAACCTGCAACCTTTTTGGTGTACAGGATAGAACTCCAACCAACCAGGCTACCTGGCAAGGGCTAGGATTTATTTACCCATGACTTTTATTTACCTTTAGTTCACCTTTATAAAATCCTTGTGTGATACTGATAGCTTTATTATTCTAACAAAGAGATTTGCAAAGGTTTACAATCTGCTCAACATCACCAACATAAAGGATAAGACTGAGACCCTTAGCTTGCTCTTAACCCTCCTTTTCCAGAATTCCTCCCACAGAAATTGACAAGCTTCTCCGAATGCTACATGTGACCCTAGGCTTAGGGACTGGACCGGGCAAGGCTGGGACCCTGTGCCCTGAGCACACTGTGCTAGTTAATGGCCGGACAGGAAAAGGTTTTGTCAGTCCCAGACCAAGAAAGCAAAACACAGCTTAAGAGTATGGCACTATTCTAGGGAAGACAGGTTTTCCTAATCTTCATTGTTTGCTTTGGCATATTTCAGGTTTTAAACATATACAAATTCACTGCAAATGGGATATAGCGCCTCTGGCAAGAATGATCCAAAAGGCTTTAATCAGAAATTTTGCTCTCATTCCCAGTGCCCCGAAACCAAGTATCCTGGCTTCCTAAGTACATTATCTCTGACTCAATCTCTGCTAGGCCATCGGCGAGAAAAACAACTTTCAAATACCTCCCATTGTGCAAAGACTA